TATCGGCCTATGGCCTCATGGGAATACAAGTTGCTTATTCCTAACAGTTCCGTGCCCAATTCGCCAAATGACCATCTGCTCCAGCTCCACTGGACTCCTGCCCCGTGACAATCACCAGCAGCAGCACACCATAGCTGTAAGTGTCTACCTTCTCCGTCATAGGGTTTGTCGTGTTCCCATATTCTGCAGTTAATCATTATTAGCACTAGTTATAAGACCAGGCTAGTTAAGATAGTACTGCCTACAAAAAAAGTTAAGACATAATTCCATTGCGCACATCAATCGCCCAACGTACCTGGAGCTGCGTACCCAAAGTTACCAGGAGGCAGATCAGTGATTGGTAACGGTTGGCCGAGCCTGGCCATGTTCATCTGTGCATCATCAAAACCGGCTATCACAGGCTTGAAAGTATGATCAAGCAAGATGTTGTTAGGGCTGATGTTGTGGTGGACAACAGGCTTATTGCATCCGTGGTGCAAGTGGGAGAGCCCTTGTGCCACGCCAGTGGCGATGATGCTCCTCTTTGGCCAGCTCAGCGGCTGAGCAGCACCCATCGGTTGGTGCAGCCAAGATTGAAGGCTGCCGTTCACCGGATATCTGTAAACGAGCATGATCGCGTCTTCCCTTCGAATGTGGTCTACGACTTTGATGATGTTGTCATGACAGATGTTGGCTAAGAGGTTCATCTCCGACTTGCAGCGGTTCTTGACATTTTCGTCCACTTGCAGTGCTGGGTTCTCGTTCTGGAACTTCTTGGCAACCAGCGTACCAATGCCCTGAGCATGGACTAAGTACACCTGTTTGTCCCTCCATGTCTTTCTGCTAGCAAAAATGCTTGTCAGGTTATCTTCAGTAAGGTTGTCGACTATGGCTTGTTCATTGAACACAATAGGCTGCGCCGCCGCAAGACGGCTCCAGAACTGCATTCTCTCAGTGGCCGGGCCGGGTAGCACGTGAAGAGGTTTGTGTCAAGGGTGTATCAACCAAATTTTCTCGTGGGTGGGCGATATTCCCGGTAACCACGGTTACCGAGAAATACCGAACAAATTTTAGACGAAATTTACAATTGAATTTTGAATTCAAACAATTTTAAATTAGATACAATAATATCTTGAACTAATGCCATTCATAAAAGGGGTAGTAGCTCAGTGGTACCTCAACTACGTGCGCGAGTTATGTTGAGGTCGCGAGTTTGATTCTTTTAGCCGTCATTACTACCTATTCTGAAAAATAACAAAAAGAACAAAATAGATACAATAATATCTTGAACTAATGCCATTCATAAAAGGGGTAGTAGCTCAGTGGTACCTCAACTACGTGCGCGAGTTATGTTGAGGTCGCGAGTTTGATTCTTTTAGCCGTCATTACTACCTATTCTGAAAAATAACAAAAAGAGGTTTGTGTCAAGGGTGTATCAACCAAGGTTTTGGATCCCAAATAGGCAAATTTTCTCTCAGAACAAAAAGAACAAAAGCAAGAGCGGAAGGAGGACTAGAACCAGCTACCTCTCGAGGCGCATAACAGATGGTTACCACTACGCCAGAGTAAGGGCACTTTCTACATTGAGAAACAAAGATAATTTATTAGACCCTGATCATTCAAATTCAAATTATTCAAAAATTTCGGTATTTTTTGCTTGGGATAGGTATTTCTCGTGGGGCGCCGAGAAACGTGGTAACTGCCCAGTATCCGTTTTTCTCGGGCGGTACCCAAAACCATGGTATCAACCTGCAAACACATTACTGTATTTGTTAGTACCCACTACTGTAGTACTCTCCCAGCTCCTCTTTCTCCAAAGATATACAGAGATCCATGCTTGTAGTTAGTTTGATACCCAAGTGTTGAGAGCAAACGACAAATGAATGATGAATCTGACGAATTTGTGTGCCTTCTGAAACAGTGCAGAATTTTATTTCAGTTACTCTAAAACAATCAGAGCATGCTATTTTTGGCGGTGGTGCGCAAGTTTATAATGCAAATGATGTTAAAATACTCAAATTAATGAAACTACTGAAAATGTTACTCCCTTCGTTTCTTTTTACTCCGCATATAAAATTTGGTCAAAGTCAAACTACACAAAGTTTGACCAAATTTATATAAAAAAATATGAACATCTACAATATTAAAACTATACAGTATGAAAATATATTTCGTGGTGCATCTGATAATGTTGATTTCATGTTGCTAATGTTTATATTTTTTAATATAAAGTTAGTCAAATTTTACAAAGCTTGACTTTGCCCAAACCTTATGTGCAGAGGTAGTACAAGGATGGAACTACTGAAATGATGTTAAAATACTCAAATTGCAGGAAAGATACAGGGATCAAATTAATGGCATGACGAGTTAGCCGGTGAAGAAGAGGGCAGGGCAGCTGGGGAAGTGGTGGCATGAAATTAGTTGAGGGGAAACGTAGAGGAAGGGAAGAGGAGCGTGCGCACGAAAGGAATTTGACTGTAGATCATCGGCGATGGAGATCGAGAGGCGGCGGCGGCGGCGGTCGGAGTCGGGGGAGGAGCGCTGGGCGGGAGCTCCAAGCGGTGAGGAACCAGACGTCGACGGAGGAGTCGTGGTCCCGTCCGACAATGTACTCGTGCCGTACCGGCGGCGTGTGCGGCGTGCGTTTGGCCGCCTCCGACGACGGCACGGGCACGAGCAGGGGCCGCAGCCTCCTCTGTCCCCGTCCCAACTCGGCTGCGCAACAACGGCGTCTCCCACCTCTCCGGCCGCATCATCTCGCCCGGATCCACTCGGCGGACCCCAACGCCGGCGCCGGAAGACCAGACGAGGGAGGTGTGGTCTGCTCTAAGCTTGATGCAAACCCTCGTCAGCTTCGAGGAAGTATGGTGCTGGTGCTGAGGGGTGGACCCATCCTGTCATACTGCCTTGAAATTTCGGACCAGACCCAAATCTAAACCTAATTGTAACAATAAAACAAAATGGCTCCTGGAATCCGTGAAATCGTAGAACCAAGGTTTTACTATTGCTACCACGTGATGGCGGCGAGGCCCGGCTCCATCTTTGACTTGACGTAGCATGGGGGAGCCGAGGACGAGGCGCGTCGGCCGCCCTCGTTGATGACGATGCCGGCGCTGCGCGTGCGCCGGTTGAGCGGAGTCTCCGCGGCGGGCTCGGCCTTGATGCCGAGCAGCACCCGCGAGCCGGAGGAATGGGAGGAGGAGCGGGAGGAAGACTGAGAGGATGAGGAGGAGGAGCTGAACCTCCTCGGCGCCCATTGCCCGGCGCTCTGGCGTGGGGGCGTGGCGGCCGCCGCGGCAGGGTATGCCAGCGGTGGGTTGTTGCCACCCTCGAGGTACGCCAGCACCTCGTGGAGCGTGCGGCCGGGCTCGCCCCACCATACACGGTGCCAGTCGCTGTTCTTCAGGCCGCCCACCCCCGGCGCCCCGTGGTGGACACCAGCCGCTGCGCCTACCGGTGCTAGAAGTACGCCGCCCATGACGCGTGGTTGTCGGCGGCGTACTGGGGGAGGGCGCGCTACTCCTTCAGCAGGGACGCTCTTACGCGGTCGACCTCGGCGGCGAAGATGTCGGGGCACGCGTCGACGTCGGGCACCGGAGGGATGGAGACGCCCCCGTTGCTGAGCCTCCACCCCGTCGACCCGGCGCGCATGTCCGGCAGCCGCCGGGATGTTGGCCTTGAAAAGGAGGTACGCCTCCCACTCGTGAAGCAAGCGGCGGCCGAAACCGTTGGCCGCCGCCCCATCGTCGGGGAAGCGTCCGGCCATCAGAGGAAAGGGAAGGGGAGACCGACAGAGCTTGGCGACGGAAGAGAGGGAGGCAGAGCTCGGCGGCTGGTTTGGACTCGGACTGGTGTGGACAGCGGCGAGGGGGAGCCGCTGGTTTTATAGCCCCGCGTTGTGTGTACGCGTGGCGGAAGAGGAGACGTCGTCGCGCCCGTGAGAAATCAATGACAAGGCTGACCGGCGGCAGCCTTGCCATTGATTCTCCGCGAAAAACCGAGGCGTTCTGGGAAAGCTGAGGCGTGTGCCGCTGACTCGGCGGGCCCATGGCTTTTTCGCGCCAAATACAGTGACCCAGTGGCGGAGCTTGCGCATAATCCAAGACGGTGCCATTAGCTGAAGGGAGGCAAAATAATAGAGAAGAAGGGGCTAATCTTTAGTTTAAACATTAGTTAGGCCTAAAATAGAGCATATTCTTCTATGGATGTAAAAGTTAAGGGGGGGCCATTGCCCCAGTTGGTCTACACGAAGCACCGCGCCACTGCAGTGACCATCTTTGTTGGCTTGTGCCTTGTGAAACAGTGTGTAGAACAGAAGCTGAAACACTGTGATGAACATTTGTCAGGATTTGTTGTGCACAGTGATGAACACTGTGATGAACATTTGTCAGGATTTCTTTTGCGGGGGTGTAGCGTTGTAGTTGTACAGTACAGAAAAGAAACAGCACAGGTCCGGATTTGTTGCGCAGAGGTTTTTGCTGCTCACGCCGCTGTGCCCATTCTTCTGGCGATCATTTGTGTGTTTCGTGCGCAACTTGTGCTTAATACTAGATCCAGCACTGGTGCAGTACTGCCTCAAACTTGGGGCTCTAGTGCTGTTGAAAATAAATAGTAGTATTGTTTTCCTTTGGTGCTCGGCCGCACGGGCTATATATATATAGCTTTACCTGCCTTTGCTTAATCATCATTCATCAGAACCCATCAAGAAGCTTACTAGTTTTATCATTTTGGTGTTGCGACGGCGGCGGGGAGCTTCTTAAGCGGCGTGTACCCAGGAGAGGATTCCAGGTACCTACTTCAAGTTGGTCAGAATGCAAACTTGGTTTCAAATTCGTCATATGCCTTGTCAGCATCCCACTTCCGTTGCCCTCTTGTGCACATATCACTCTGTTCTAAGCCTTGGTTTCAACAGCCCCAACACCAGAGCAGCAGCCAGCAGGTGTGAAATGCCATCTGGGTTCTACTTCCTCTGTACCATAATATATTATGTCATTTTAGCAGCTCAGGTTCAACTGCTAAAACGACATATATTATGGAACGGAGGGAGTAAATGCTATCATGTGATTTGAACCAGCTGCTGAATCCTAGCGAGCAGAGCATGTACTGTTCATCATTCCTATCACATGATCCACTTCACATATTATAGGTTGCAAGGATGGGGTACTAATAAGCGTAACATTCTGTTGAAAATATAGCAATGTACCATCATTTCAGTAATAATTTGATTTGATCCTTGTAGTATCATATTCATACATGAAGATTACAACTGCGCACCACCACCAAAAATAGCATCTTCTCATTTCCTTAACTGAAAGAACCATATCAAAAGCCACGCTTCTTCTAAGAGTTCACTACTCTCTGTGGCTTGCTGTCAACACTTGGCTCAAACTAATTGTATACATGCATCTCTCTTTATCTCTTGATAGTTTTCAATTCAATGTATATAATCGAGATAGTACAACTGAATACAATTAATTAATGCTCCAGCAGGTTGACACACGCCCTTGAAATCTAGAATGAGCCCGCAATTCTGGCAGAGGAGATGCCCTGTGGTGACCCTGCCTGTTGAATACAATGAACAAGGCATAGTTGACAACCTTACTGAAAATAATGCGACAAGGGTGTGGACTAGCAGGAGGACATGGGAGGACGAGCAGCTATACCTGGTCCATGATCAGGGCACCGGTCTTCCTACTACTCTGGTCGTCAAGAAGTTCCAGAGCGTGAACCCAGCTCTACAAGTGCACGACAGTGTCAAGTACCGCTACAATTCGGAGATGTTCCTGTTAGCCAGCAATTCTCACGACAACATCATCAAAGTCGTAGACCTCATCCAGCGGGAAGACGCGATCATGCTCGTTTACGAGTATCCGGTGAATGGCAGCCTTCAATCCTGGCTGCACCGGCCGGTGGAGATCGGTCGACCTCTAGGCTGGCCGGAGAGGAG